AGATAGTAGAATCTGAAGGAATAGAGCTTTCCGATTCAACAAAACTCAGATCTCTGTCTGCCACTGAAACTTACAAGTATTTGGGTATATCACAGTCGTTAGGCATACCAGAATCTGACATGAAACAAACGTTGCAGGAACGCTTTTTTGGCCGTTTGAAAAAAGTACTTAAAAGTCTTTTATCGGGGGGCAACAAGGTGCGAGCCTGCAATGGTTGGGTCATGCCGATTCTGATGTACTCCTTTGGTATACTTAAATGGACTCAGACCGAACTAGATGCCCTTGATAGGAGAGTCCGTACATTGCTGACTGCATTTCGAATGCACCACCCACGTTCATCGGTTATGAGATTGTATATCCCGCGAAAGCTAGGGGGTCGCGGATTATTAAATATCAAGACCCTACACAATCGGGAGATATGCAATCTCAGAGAATATTTTCTACATACCGATGTGGGAATGCATCGCAATGTAGTTGCAGTGGATATCGGATTCACCCCGCTCGCTCTGGCTAAAGAGAATTGGCGCAAACCTGTAGTATTTAGTACTAATGATCGTAGGGAAGTATGGAAGGGCAAAGAGCTCCATGGCCGGTTTTATCGGGCCCTAAACGGGTCCGATATAGACTTTAAAGCATCTACGACTTGGCTACGGTATGGTGATCTCTTCGGAGAAACTGAAGGTTTTGTTTGTGCGATTATGGACGAAGTTATCATGACGAATAACTATCGGAAATATATCCTGAAAGATGGTACGGTTGACATCTGTCGGGCATGTCACCGTCCTGGGGAATCAATCAGGCATATCATTTCTGGTTGTTCTCGTCTTGCTAACGGTGAATATTTGCATAGGCACAACCAAGTAGCCAGGATTGTACACCAACAGCTTGCTCTTAAATACCATCTTGTGAATCTAGAGGTGCCATACTACAGGTATGTGCCCGACCCAGTTCTCGAGAATGGTCGGGCCACGTTGTATTGGGATCGATCTATTATCACAGACAGGACTATTGTTGCTAATAAGCCTGATATTGTAGTGATAGATCGATTAGAGCGCCGCGCAATTATTGTTGATATCGCCGTTCCTCATGACGAGAATCTCGTGAAAGTTGAAAAAGAAAAACAAATAAAATATTTGGATTTATCTCACGAGATTGTCGATATGTGGAATGTCGATTCAGTGATAATTGTTCCGATAGTCGTATCTGCTCACGGATTGATAGCCAAGAGCCTCGACCAACACCTTAAGAGGCTCACGTTGGACGGCTGGATCAAGGGTCTGATACAGAAGGCAGTCCTCCTTGACACGGCTCGTATAGTGAGGAGGTTCCTATCTTTGCAGTCCTAACCACTGGTGTCTTGGTACCTGTACCCGATGTCGGTGGTCTACTATTTTTTATATTTTTAAATGTATTTTTATTTCTTTTGTAATATATTTAAAAATGTAATTAATATGTATATATAATTTAATAAAGAGAATAATAATAAATTTCTTTTGTACTATATTTAAAAATGTAATTAATATGTATATGTAATTTAATAAAGAGAATAATAATAATAATTTATTTTCAGACTAAGTCCATTTAATTTGTTAGTAACAATATTCTTAGCCTAGTGTTAGTAACATCAGTCAGGCGCTTGGTCTCACGTGTAGGCCTATCCAGTGTGCCATCAGTGCCGAGTCCATTCGACCGGCGCTCGCGGTCAGGATGGCGCTGGGGCTGCCGCGCTCCCGTGCCATCATTGATGCACAGCGCTTTCGCATTATATAAAACTACGGATAGAGAGATGACATGTAGCTCGCTGCGTAGGGCTTGCGACTACCAGCTCAATACATAGAAAAAGGTTATATTAACGTAATGACAAAAATACCTACCTACCCTAATCCTAGTGAAGGAGTTAAAAAATTTAACAAGTACTTTAAAAAACAGTAGTTAAAGAAAAAATGAATTGATAAAATCATGTTGTTGTTCAAAAGAAACTGTAAGAGTGAACAATAATGCATGAAAAAATAAATTGTTATATAGGATGAAAATATCCCACAATTGTTGGACGTTCTATTATTATTATTAAACCAAAACATATAATTTAAAATTTAAACGTAAAATGAAACTACAATACAAATTAATCGACGAAGATTACTTTGGCATTTTTTTTTTTTTTAAAAGACATCTCCCGCTTTAGGAATATATCCTGTGTCGCGGGGGACTTTACAAACATACATGAAACGGACGTAAAAAACGCCCAGACTCAGAACAACAATTTGTGGACCACACAAAGTGTCGTCCCATGTGGGGTTTGAACCCACAACACTCGGCGTAGTAGGAAGCGACCGCTTAAACCACTTGGTCATCTGTGCAATTCAACAATTAGAAGGACAAAAATTACTGTTGGGCATTGCCCATAACATTTTAGTAGGTTCGTAATTTTTTTGTTACAGAAGTTGTCTAAGTTATCTTTAAGTTGTTTAACATCAGGAGGTAAACGATATTTTTTATATCCATATCTTTAATTTACTGAGAGAAACCTATTCCTGAGACGGAAAGGATCCTATGTGTTAGTCCAGGAAATGGCCTATCTACCAAATCTGTTCAACGGTTTACGTGTGACTGAGTAACTAATATCTAAACATTTTCACAATCTGTCACATTTATAATATTAGTGAGATCTATTTCCTGTTTTAACTTGTCAGTTGAACACTTTATTCATTTTACCTACTATACCTCTTCAATAGCAACTACACTTTTAAATTATCTTTTTTTTGCAAATAGCTGTGTACCGAAAATAAATGTTTTTCTATCACAACTGGTTACCATGAAAGACACGAAAATTCTCGTAGTAATTTGTTGCGGAACACAATTGCGATGGAGGCCGAAAGGGCCGCTTTCTAAAAATATAATATATGTATTTAATTTCAATTGCAACCCGCAATATGAAAGGTGGTAAAATCCAATACTAAATTTCGTTTACGAATAGGTAAATGGGACAATCGGAGTCTATTGTTGCAATTTACATACTGGTATTCCAGACTCGCATCCTCCAAAGCGCTCCTTATCCTGTCATTGTATTGGGTACTTACGGATATAACTTCATTCTCCACTAGTTTATCAACATCACCACTATGTGATACCAACTGAGGTGTGCTGTTGGCTACCGAATAAACAGTACGTGACGAAGAAGGGATAATTAAGCTATTCCGTAAGTCAGAGCGTATCCTCTCAAGTACTGCATCATCCAGCAGGTGACAGCGCTGTATAGCTCGTACTTGATCAGACCACACAGCCACGGCCGTAACTTCTGTTGTAGCTTCCGGGGACGGCAAGACGGAGCGGAGCGACGAGTCCGGGGATGTTAAAAGTGCTCTGAATCTAGCTCTTGTTATCATCTTGCAGTGGAATTTCATATTACATGAAAAATATATTTTTGTCTTGACATGACGTTAGACGTCATGTCTTACTATAGATATTCTTGGTTTATTTATTTTAATTATTCTTTAAAATTTGAAAATACATCAAGAATAATACATTCTTGGTGTATTTTTATAAAAAGGATGCATTTTTTTATTGTTAATTTGTTTTAATGGTTTGCGGTGTTGTAAATATCGAGAACATTTATTTATTTTAAAAGGAAATTTTTAATTTCCCATTCCGAACAAATCACTTCTGTCTGTTTTAATATGTTTTATTATATTTTTATGTGGTTTGCATTGATTTATGACACTTTATTTGTCACTAAAATTGTACGATTATCTGTCTGATAGTTAATACCATCAATAAGGATTAGTATTCGGTAGCAATATATAATAGCATTAACCGTAGAAGAAATCCTATCAGAATATAATACCACATTCAATGAAAGAAATGATAACATATATTTATTCATATCGCTTAATTATTTCAAAGTTGTAATTCAATACAGAGGACGAAAGCTTAGGAGATTTCACCGTAGATTGGATCATCAGAAAAAAGATAGGACCAGTCATCCAGTATGTCTAAAAACGTGTATAATGTGTTATATTATTGTATATTTTGATATTTATATACATTAGCGAAACCTATATATATTATGTATTTACTGTTATGCAATTATATACTCGTATTATTTGGTAGCATTGTAACGTAGTAATAAATGCAAGCTATTGCAAGCATATTTTAAACAGCTTTTCATCAACATTTTAAAACAATACAGAAAAATGATTTTGATCCTCGGGATCAAAATCATATTTCTGTATTGTTTTAAAATGTAATTTTAGGGAACATGAGCATACTTATTAATAACATTATGCGGAGTTTTGGAAGTTACTACCTTACATATGGCATAATACCACTCACAATAATGAATAAATGTCTGGTACTATTATTTTAGGTCATTATCGTTAGGGATAATCATGGATTAGTAGGAAAGTACAGAAAATCTCCTGTACTTTTGATAATGAATAATTCAATGCCTATTATTTAAGCAAAATTAACAATAAAATGGATACATCTCAGAATTGTTGTCATTACCTTTTGCATTTCACATCAGCTTGTGCCAATAATACAGAATTGAATGGATATTACTGAAGTCATAGCTTTTACCTAAGCCGCTATTTTTACTTTATGTTTCAGTAAATACGGTAAATCTTTTACAAATAATTAAGTTTAAAGAAATCTCTTCCAAAATATTGCATTTTCTATTATTGTACTGAGCACTCAAGTGTAAGTGTGTAAAGAAGTATTGACCTCTATCCGGTATCAGCTCAGAATGCCAACTTCTGGAGATGATAACTTCTTAAAATGACAATTTAAATACTAATAAACAAAGTTTACATGCCAAGCTGAAACGTAATGCAGGAGTGGTGAAAGTTCCACCATGAATAATAAATAAAATCGCCAAAATATTCAATAATTTTATTTGTAACAAGTACTAATAAATAACATAAAAATAAACATAAATTATTATCATTTATACAATGGCAGACTCAAGTAATTATTTTATTAAGTGTTTTGGTAGGTCCAGTATGTTATTTTCCCATTGGTTTTACACCCATGATGAGGCTGTACTCAGTGGTCAATCCACCCAGCAAAATCGATATGATCCAATCAACAGGGATTTGAGCATCAATATCGGACAATTGTTGTGTTAGGAATGTAATTTTAGATATGTAGCTTTCTATACAAACGTAATTCTCTAACATACAATTGAAAATCTCTCGCTGAATATGTAAAACCTTTGTCTTCATACGCTTTTTGTAAGCTGCTCCTAGCTTCTTTTTATTATTATTATAGACGTTGGTAAAGCACTCTGGCTCTAACAACAAGCACATTGTCATTCGTGCCTGCCGGTCTACGTCAGCATTTACCACATCTGTAGGCATTACTCCCAGTTTTTACTCGCCAAGTAATTTTGCACCAAGAATTTCCAGTTATGGTAGCGGATGATTATTTCCGCTTCTTAATACCTGTTATGCCAACTTCACTCAACTTTTAGAAACTTTTAGAAAACAGTAGCAGTAATAAGAGCAGCAGTGGTGTGATAGTTACTTTATTCATTCGTGGTCCATCCAAGAATCCTGACATTACCTACTTAAATAAATAAATATTCACAAATATCCTACCTCTTATGAGACTTATACAACACATGGTGGTACTCGTATAATGCTAAATCATAGAAAAAATATTTATTAAGTTTACTGTTAGCCAATTTTTTAAACGCTTAGTTTTAGGTAAAAATGTTTCTGCCATTTTTCGTTCTGCCTCAATAAACAACGATTGCCTGAATTATAAATTGCTGGAATCGCTTTAATAGTTTGAATATCGGTAGCATTCCCCTACAGTAGACTACTGTACGACTTTATGCTATGAAAATAACTGAATTAAACAAATCATGCTATATCAATATCAGTCAATTCTAGAATTTTTCTAACCGCGTGTGCTGCTGAGCTGAGTCTACTCGATAATTTATCTACATATGTGTGGGCCCTACTGTAGCTTAGAACCTAATAATATTTCCAAAAATTTCATTGTATCCGACAATGAAAATGTGTTGTATTAACGTCAAACCAATGAACCTTCTTTCGAAATGGCGCTGAGTCTAAATAATAGTGATGTATCATCTGCAAACAACACAATCTCATAATTGTCCTTGTCAAGGTGAGGTAAGTCGTTAATATTTAGGTACTAAAAACAAAAATGGGACAAGAATAGAACCTTGTGGAACGCCCATTTCTATCACAGAACGCGGAGATCGCTCACCATTAATATCAACTTTCTGAATGCTATTAATTAGATGTAAAGCAAGAAGTTGCTGTGCTTAAGTTTTGATACCATAGTGCTGTAATTTCCTAATCAGCGTTTCATGAACAACACAATCAAAAGACTTAGGTAAATCGCAAAAAACATCTAGGGAATCGTGGGCATCCATCCTCCCAGGCATCAAATATATATTTTTATAAGCTCAGCACTATCAGTTGTGGAGCGACTCCTTGTAAAACCAAATTGTCTACTGTATAATAAATTATTAATATTAAAATAATTTTTTATTTATCCTACATTATTTTTTTAAAAAAATTGCCAAGTAGTACTGAAATAGCCCTAAAATTTGTTGGGTCAGATGTTCTGCCAGATCAGGAAATACACCCACTATCAACACATTGATTAAATGTAAATGACAATTAATTAGCCGCAAGAGATATAATTATCTTAGTAATTAATACAAAATTTCGCCATAGGACAGTTGTTTATTTAACATTAATAGTGTTAAAGGCTTATTTGGGCTTATCAAGGGGAGAAACATATTTGAACCTAAATTCACTATCAATCCTACCAACATTATCTTTTAAACTTGATTCTGCAAAGCATGATGAGGTGTTCAAAGATTTAGTAGTTGATACAGGAATATTGATAAAAAAAATTCAAATTCGGCAGAAACCTCAGCTTTTGATGTGATGAATTTATTGTTTACTTTCAAATTAAATTCATTATCGCAGTATTGTTTTTTTCCAGTTTCATTGTTTATCATTTTCAAAGTGGTTTTAATCTTATCATTGCTACTTTTAATCTTTGAACTTATAAAACGGTCTAGTCAATTCACAAAGTTACCTAAACAGTTTTGAATATTATTTAACATAATTATGAAACTGTTCACTTTTATTATTATTTCTCTCATCATATAGTTCATATAATCTATTCCTAGTTTTGCGTAAGCCAGTGGTAGCCCATTTACTAAATGTGGCGTGACCTTTAACTATTAGGGTTGTTGGTGTTAAAATGGAGTACATAGACACGTGAACAATTAAATGACGTCTCTGCCTGTTAAGTGACATACTATTAATAAAAAAAAAATCTTTGTGAAAAAAACTAAGAAATTATCTTAGTTTTTTTTTTTAAATTAAGTTATTTCTTTAATTTTTTCAAGCTAATCGTATATTTCACAATTCTGCTAGATTTACTAGTGTCATCATCACCTATGAGATCTATTACTATGGATGGATGGAGACTATCAAATGCAGCCTTTTTTTTTTACGTGTGGAAATCCCCTCGGACCGTCACCGTCGGGTTTGCGGCGGGGTGGTGTGTCGGACTCGGACCGACTAAAACCACACGGTGTGCCACTCCACGCCTGTAATAGGAGGGATCCGGGAACAGCTGTTATCAAGACATCCGTACCCCTTCTAGCGCCGGCCCGCTCGTTGCGGGCTCCGTCTCAAAATTTTTTCCTCTCTTTAGGCTACGTCCGGCACACGCGGACGCCGCCCCCTCGCGTATGGCCAAACTAATGCGGGTGGAGGGGAAACCCACCCCGTCCACCCGCGGCCACACTCAGGGCGGCATGAGGCGGTGATAAGCGCGCCTCCGCCGCCCGGTTCGCCGGCGGCGGATCGGGTCCGAGTGGAGGTCGTCCTCCCGGGCCTTCTCCGCTGCCTCCTTCTGCGAGATTACTTCCTCGCAGAAGGTTGCGCGCGGTAAAACAACTGTCGCTACCGGCCATGGAGCGTACTACGGCCGGTAGCGAGAGATCCACTCCGATGACTGCAGTGAGGGCCCGGCGCTGCGTCGCCCATGCGGGGCAGACCGCCAGCGTGTGCTGGGCCGAGTCCTCACTGCAGTCGCAGTGAGGACTCAGCCCAGCCCAGCTCAGCTCATTCACCCGCTCCGTCAGCCTCTCGTTGGCCAGCTGTAGGCGAGAGACATCGCCCACTAGGCCCTCCACGACCTCCGACAAAGCGGAGGAGGAGTCCTTGAGGGCCCTCACAAACGAGCCCTTAAGGTTTACAGACTTGGTGGCCACCTTGTGGATGATGGCCACCGCCGCTTTCGCCCTCTCCTGCACGGACACGGGGCGTTTCCCCCCACCGGCTCCCGAACCTTGAGCAGGAGATCCGGGATCTCCTCCTCCGCTACGGCCTCGCCGTCCACTTGTACACTTTTGTACGACACCGCGTTTGAGAAGGCAGAGCCTGACGGGGTCGAGACCGAGGGCGGTTTTCGTGGCCTCCCTCGACGGCTGCTTGCCACTTTTGGTGGCATCATTTCCTGGGACGTGTCGGTCTCCTCGTCCCTGGAACGTCCGCGTTTCCGGCTGTCGCATCGCTCCGCTTCCATGGCCTCCGCGCCATCTGACGAAACGGCGGACCCGGAACGCAGACGATCCGATGCTCTTCGGCTCCCAGAGACCAGAGTCAGACTGACTTCTGGGAGCCCCACCGAGATAGGCGTTCCCGACACCACCTCCCCCTCAGTGGACGATCCATCTACTCGACTGTTCCTCTTCTTCTTCCTTCCCTTCGATTCCTTGTCCGTTTGACTTGCCTTTTTTCGTTGTTGTTGGTTTCCAATCGTTTTTTTTATGTTTTGATTATCATCCATAATAAATCCCACGAGTCGGGGAGAACTAAAGGTCCACCCGGGCAGAGATCCCCCATTACCCGGGCAAGCGTAAGTTTTTAACCCAACCGAGGGGCCCGCAGGTACCTCGGCTTGGAGTGCGCTCGAGACTGAACTTCGTATCAGCCATGCATCCCCTGGCCACGCACCAGAAAACGGGATTCGGGGATTTTTTTAGAGAGGTTGTCTTCCTCGCGGTCCGGGCGGTTAAGCCAAGACCCTCGACCCCGATCAGAGCCGCGAGACTTGACCACAGCGCTCTTCTCGGGATTACGATATGCCGACGGTTGACAGGGAGACTACGTCCCCCTGCCTGCTCGGTGGTAGTGTCAGTACACGCCGAGCCCGTCCTCCTTTCTCCACCGCTGTCAGCGGAGAAACTGTGGCCCCTACAGGCCCCGCCATCCGGTTTTTTACCGAGTTTTCCTCATCCATGCTCCGAAGAGCGAAGATCCAGCAGGGCAACCGGCAGACACGCCCACCCTGCTGGACCAGGCCTTGCCCGAGAGCCGATGAACGGCTTCCTCTTCTGCTAGAATATTAGCCGCTGGCGATAATCCTCTCCTCCAAGTGGACAATTAGGAAACAGTGCCATCGCCAGCGTTTCCAGGGTGCACCTCGGGGAGGTTTTCTAGCGTAGCACCCCATCAAATGCAGCCTGATCCAGCCCCGAGGCAACCAACTCGACCGTGCAAGTGTATATTATATTGAAGCTAGTGATAAGTTTCTACTAACAAATATTGTTTTTTTTTTAATTTATTAATATATGTTACAAGGTACCCTACACTATCTACAACTCTTAATAAACTAGTGAAACAAATAAGAAAGCGTTAGGTTTCACAATATTCAGTGTAACGTCTTTATTTCACTGTCCTATTTACTCTGTTGTGCAGCAAGTAAGTTGGCCGGTTGGCACTTGGCAACTTGGCCAGGCGACCGCTCGCTATGCAGTTAAGAGGACTAAAGTTTCCCGTTGATGTTAACGTTGAATATTCTATGGCATTTACTGGTACTTGCATTGGTTGTTAAAAAAATTGCTCAGCTATATTACTGTATAATTCGAAAGTAACCTTTGCAGTATTTTAAGGAGTTTAAATGGTCTCTTGTCATACTCATAAGAAAACATGTTAGGAGTACATCGTTTCCTAATTTTCCACCTTGTGTAAATTAATTTCGAATAATTCAAATCTTAAACATTTTTTTATTTTTAATTAAGTATACGACCAATAAATGTTAAAACCAAATGATAAAATTAACGACTCACCCTTTTATTGGATAGTAGATACTCCCTGGAGCAGGGACATACTAGGCGTACTATGACTAAGTCTTATCTATCGAATTCTGTTGTTTTTCTCTAGTCACACTCAATTTTAAATTAGAAAAATGAAAGGTTATAGAAAAATCACACAAATGACATAAAAACTCAGTCCCTGGTATATTTTACCCACATTTTACGGTTCCATTGAAATATTCAAGGAGTGTTTGCGTATTA